TATATTATGGAGCGTACACCGAGAGGACTGTCCTCGTGTTTAATTCTTTACACCGTAATGACAATTATCGCATTTGTCATAAAATTCATGTAGGCAATTAATTGAGAAATCATCTCGATAAATCACGTACACATGCTGACTTCTTCTCCCGAGGAATTCATCTTCATACCAAGACTCGTCTCGTTGGCGCCAAAATTTATTTCACCCCAGAACTCATCCTTCTCATTTCCGATATGGAAACTTTTTCTAATCTCCAGATAGTTTATCATTCTGCTTTTTTTCCATGCGACACGTTAGCAGTGGTAATATGTTGTAGAGTGATGAATCGCAGTCGTTCTGATGCGATTTAAGATAAACTGTCAAAAGGAATATATTATATTAATACATATAACCACTTCGCTACCACATAAAATAGCTCTAATGACCCAAAAAACTGTAATTGAGGTGATTATGCATGAAATGCGCCTTTAGCAAGGAATGCCTTTACTGTAATTGCGCTAAGATCACTTGTTCCGCAATTTCCGTGTTTTGTTCATGAAACTCACCCTTCGTCGTGTAACACAGAGCTCAATAAGATAATTTGCAAGCGAAAAGGGGCGATTAATTGAAGCGAATGAATTGTGTTTGATTTGCATGTCGAACGCAAAACTCGATCAAATTATTAACGATCTTGCAAGCCGCACACGCCGCTGAGGAAAATGCCCGCGAAATTGACGTGTTAATTTATAAACGCGGAACGACACAATTGGCTGAGGTGTGGTAAATACCAATCACTCCGTGTCATCACGTTGATAATTAATGTCATCGACTTTTCATCACTTGTTGCCACTGGCGGGACCTTTCGGCCTCCATCTTTGACCGTGAGATGGCAAAATTCTTGTGAGAAAAGACTGCGCGTTCTGGGATTCTGGGCGGTGAAAATGTCTCTCGCAGATGATGTGGCGTCATTGATATTTTCCCATCACCATGTGTCCACGTTCTGCCCATCAATGGCATGTTGGGTCGTGAATTTCACACATAAATCCATTCGGAAGTCCCACTGCTTCCCATAACACTCGTTTCTCGCATTAAATGTTGTTACCAATAAGGCTGGTCCCTGCTGCAAGCGCAAACAATATCGCCAGAGTGAGGAGAACGACTAGGGAAGCGCCCATAACACCGAAGAATGATAACCCGCTGCGATAATGCGCGGTTTTCGAGCACTCGCATTTATCCTATATACCAATTAAGTGCACCACAATAGACGTAGAGAAGCGTCTCAAAATGCGGGGCTTTAAATCGCAGCGGACAAAAAACCAGTCCCTCAGATCTGAGAGTGAGACAGAGTTGGTGAAAAGTTGCAATTGTACCTTTTCATTCCGACTGTTTCAGAGCCAACCCTGCGCAAACAAATCGTCAATGGGAACATTTTTGTGTGTCCTCGCACCAGTGGCAGAAATACTCCTGCGAATGGTCCGACAAAAGGGTAAATGGGTGTTATTGTTGAAAAGCTGCTTGAGATTTGTTTTTGTTATTTGTAAAGTCTTCTTCTCCCCCTCGGTTTCTGGGTATATTTGGATAAATTATTATATTTTCTCGAGATCAATAGGCGGGAAAATACTTCATGTTTTATTTCAACCTATATTTAACTGCACACTTTTGTGTGTTTATTGAATTAATATCATAAGTTTTGGAATCAGTGTAGCAAGAAGATATCACTTTTCGTTTCAGTCAAATATTTCTATGATTTTCTATTTGAAAATGTGCTAGAGAAGTCACGTGTGAGAAAACTTCTTTAAACTTGACTTTCAAATACAAAAGTCTCACTTTTTTGATTCAAGACCATCAGTTTCATATTCATAACCTACAATACATAAATATAAGATACATCTGGCTCCGTAGCACGTGGACTCAGAGGTTCATTCGCACTTGAAATGAGATATTTTCACAAGGCGACTGACCCACTGAAACGTAATGTTTACAGATGCCAAATTCAATAGACAACCAAGCGCCTTAGACATACATATTTCCTAATTTTTTGGTTGATCTATTATTCTATTAAAATCGAATTCTGTTTTCCATTACTTTAGTTCTTATTAAATTTTCACGTGTCTTAATATGGAATTTATCTGTTGCATCAATATTGATCCTTTCACTGGGTTCACTCTATTAAGTGCCACATTTCAAATATCAATAGTTCATTATCTGCCTATAAAAATCTCATGCTTCGATGTTTGCAGTCGTATTTTCGAAACACGTCATACAGTTACTCTTCCAGTTCGGTGAATGTCTCTGCGAAAACATACCCCTATTGATTTCTCATGGGTTCACTCCCATGTTGCATTTCAATGGTTGAAATTGCGTGATTTTCCGTTTGAGCGAAAGGTGGAAGTGGTTTCATCACCGCAAAAGATGTCCCATCGAGGGCTCAGAGGAAGAACCACCCGCTGGGCATCTTTCTTCCCTCCGCGGGTGATCCCGAAACATGGTACGGAACATTGTAGTCCGTCTGCAGTTGAAAACCTGGGGATGGTCTAACAAAGTTGCTGAATTAGCTCCTCGCATGAGAGGGGCCTCTTCACACCCGTTCCACTCCGTATGTCTGCATGAGGCTCGTTGAGACAAATTTGAATAAACATGTGCTGAATTATTATAATCACTGCACGATGATCAATGGCGTTTCCTCCTCATTTTCTCGTTCAATGCAGCGAAAAAGAGTGCAAAACACTGTTGCGATTAGATTTGGTCGGTTCATTTCTCTCTCAATTGGTCGACACGCGATCGATTTTGATGATCGGCACCTTCGCGACTCATCTAAGTCATACTTAATGCATCGCCAGAGGTGGTGTTGCAGGAAGACGACACACCTCAAACATCTTTATAAGAGTCTTTATAAGCCCTTCGCATGACACGTGAAATCTTCACTTCGATCATACCTCGCTGGTAGCTCCTAAAGATCAGTCGACGTTCATAATTATGTCATGGTATACAGTAAAAATGTTCCTCATTGACTCCCAATTAGTAGCTTCCAACAGTGAAGAATGATTACAATAAGACGAGAATGAAATGTACAAGACAGAAACATAAAATGCCTTCGTACAGCATATGAGCAACACAAAAAATTCTATGCATAATTATGAAATTCTTATCTGCATATTATTTGATGCACTAGAGTCGCCATGAAGGAAATATCTTGGCGATAATTTCAGAAATTTATGCATTTGCTCTCTCCTCACTTGTACTGCCTCGTCGCGTTGACCTTCCAACACATATTTTGCCCCTGAATGTTGGGTAAAATTTTCCTCTTCGATGGGGAAATTTCACTGAGAATGACATGAAACACATTCACAACAACTCCATCCAAACGAGCTCAAAATTAACAATCCGATTACAAATTCTTGTCATATTTGCTCAATGGAGGAAAATATTTTAATTGTGGCCAGGCCTGAAGGGGAAGAGGCGCTCGCGAGTTGCGGGAAAAAAGCGGTTGAAACAATTTTCATTCTTTGAATATTTAGCGACATGCACCTGACACTTTGACAATATTCATCTTATTTATATCCAAGTCTCAATCTCACTTTATGCAATTTCCTCGCATTGGCAGACACCTTGCTAAGATGACAAGATGAAAGACTGGTGATTTCTTCAGCAGCTGATGCCTTATACAGAATGTTCGACGATTGGGAATTCCAAGAGGTGTTCAAATCATGTTCATGGAGTTAATTTTCATACTCAAGTTCACTGATTGTCAATCGATGCACTTCACAATTAGGATCCTTTTTATTGTCTTATCAAAAAATATATCACGAGTCTCAAAGCGGAACAGCATGGTCATGCTGAGTAACAGCAAAATTTTGAGCAATACCTTGAGTAATTGGAAAAATTACTTTCACTAGAGACGTTTTTTTTTCTTTCAAAACATTTTTGGGCAACATTTAGTCGAGAGGAAATTGCACAAGAATGCCTGTTTTTGTGCGGACATGGTCTGTATGTTTTGTGGGGACACTGTTGAAACATCTCTCTTGTGATGAGATTTATCTCGAGAAACACTGAAGAAGTCTTCGGCGATGTTCTCTTTACGATCCTCCTCGCCTCTCGCCCTGTGAATGTCACTAAATGTGGTGTTGTATAATATACATAAAATAAATTAATTATCCATTTTATTTAGTGTATCTTCGACTATAAGATGAAAAATATTCGGGCAGGTTTATTGTTGAGTCCGTTGGGTTCTTTTTTCTACCTCTTTCTCACTCTTGATCGCACTCATGAATGGGAGAATTGGTGGAGCTTTGGGCAGAATTGGCGGGAAGTGGGGGTCAGACAAAAAGAATAAACACAACATAAAAGCAATAAAAATAGTTGATTCTACCTTCAGAATTTATAGCATAAATGCGCCAAGAAGGTAGATGGTAAAAAGTGTGTATTTTTTACGACCATTTCCTCTCTCCCATTGTGGGACAAGGAGAGATGGCCGAGACACAGTGGTCAGAGCAAGAACCTATAAATTTTAATGAAATTATTTTGAATGTTACAATGAATGAGTCTCATTGTAATTTCTCTCTAACTAGCCACAAAAATATTGAGGGATAAATTGAAATGAGATTCTCGCTCGGGAAATACTCGTTCCGAGAAGAAGTTGTTAAAATCAGCATCTGCAAGGGGGCAAAACGGGGTAGAAATTGGAGCGTGTTGGCGCCATTTGTCAATTTAAATTCAAATGAGCCCATACTTCTGTCCCTTTTTTAGTGCCGAGCCGTGAAGCGAAATGTGATTGAGAGAAGTGCAGAGATGCTCCTGAGAATCACACCACTGATTAAATTTCACATTCAACCGCTGAAGAATGACTCTCATTGATCTGTTAGTGAGGCTGCGGAAATTTCAGTGTTTGCTCAAGTTTCACACAGAAGATGAAAGGGAGTGAATGCTGAATTTCTGAGCCTGCTCTCTCTCTCGTATTCAAAATGCAGACCCATAAAAATGGCGGTAAAACTTAACCCTGTAATTTGAACTAATAATTTCAGAGTATTCGGTACGAGACGGTGCTGCCGCTGCATGGCCACGATCAGTTCGTCGGAATTGGTGATGAGAGCCCGTCATCTTGTCTTTCACGTGAGATGCTTCTCCTGCGCCGTGTGCAATACACCCCTCACAAAGGGGGACCACTTCGGGATGAGGGAGTCAACGGTACTGTGTCGGTGAGTTCCGTGCAAGATCCCAGTGTACACTCGAGAGACCATCTCAAGCCCGGCGAATTCATTTCAGACTGCACTATGAGATATCCCTGGAAACCGAAGCCCTGCCAGCCACCACACCAATGACCATGGCTTGCCAGCATCCGCAGCCCTTCGGGACGTCTCCTCTCGGACCGCCAAGTCCCAGCGATGGCGCCACGAAGCTGGGGCCCTCGGGCTTCTTTGGCGGATCGCAGCACAACCTCACCGCGGCCTTGGCTCAGCCTCCGCGACAGAAGGGGCGCCCCAGGAAGAGGAAGCCCAAGGACATCGAGGCCATGACGGCCAATTTAGGTAAGCAACATCTCAATGCAGACGGCAGACTGCCGAGGAAGAGCTATAAATAACGAGAGAATCATAAATCAAGATTTAAATCTCTATTGACGAAAATATAAATGAAATGTAGCGTCACAATGACTCGTAATGTTGCTGTGCTCAACAATGAGTTCAGTGTATTGGGATTTGTCTTAAGTGACTGTTAAAAGAGCCAAAGACTCCTGTTGAGATCCCAAATTGAAAGATTTACGCGTGCGGGATCGCTCATCATTTCAATGAAATTCTTTTCTTCCACATCTCCTTTACTAATACACGAAATCCATTGAGTCATCACTCACTTAATACAAGGAAGTTTTGTGTTGGTTTGTCGACAAAACATTAATTGCAGTCGTAATGATTTTAATATCAAATAGGTGGAAAAAAATACAGTACATGGAGTTAAATGATGGCACACAATTTTTTCTGCTTTTTATATAATTCTCAAAGAATCTTACGAGGATGTCCGAACAGTTAGTCAAGAAACTTGAGCATCTTAAAAATTTTAACTGCATTCTAGTGCGATGCATAAAACAAAGACTATCAAGAGAGTGAAAAATATATTTTCGTATACCAAGAAATTGGAGCAATTTGTGAAAAATCCCTACAATTTCACTCGAAAGCTGAATGGGAGGGTCGCAGAGCTAGACAAGCGAGGCAGATCATGGTAAATAATGAGACAATTAAGTTTGCATTGAAGCATCTCGGAAGATGGTGTGTAATGAACATGAAATGAAGCGCCACGCTAGTTTCATAGGAGAAGAAATTAATCGTGAATTTAAATATTTTTCGTGGTTAGAAGTGGCAGGTGTGACAATTTAATCGACTGAAGAGTGACTCTGGGAGTCTCCAGAAGGCACCGAAGTAGAGCACAAGAGTACATTGTATGTAGAATGGGAGAGAAGAGTGCGGGACATTTTGAAGTTTCTGGTGACTTGAAATAAATTATAACCACACGAAAAGGAACATTTCTCCCTTGGCAGTGAGAGAAAACCATTTGGAATGAATGACTGTGTCACATTGAAATATTTCCACCATGAAGATTGTGTAATTTATGTTTTCATTAATTTAATGTCTTCCCCTCTCGTTCTTTCAAGCCAACGTCAACATCTGAAGCGATACCACATGAGAGACTTTTCTCTGTATTGACATAAATTTGGGTATTTTCCCAAGGAAGATATCCTGAGGAAAAGAGGAAGTGAATGTAGAAGAGAAAAAGGAAAATTTTAGAAATATACATTACATACAATTATGTGCTTGCCTCGCATGAGTAGTAAAATGTAAATAATTCTGAAAATGAATGAATATATACTTCTGCCAAGTTTACCTATTCATGCAAGAAACGTAAAAAAAAGGCGGAAGTCGGCGGAATGAAGCACAGGAATCAATTTTGGAAGAGTGTGTTTACATTTTATTAAGCGAACACAGCAGAATTTTTCCACTGCTGCAGGATCTCATTTTGTGAATTGAAAATTTTCTCCCTCACAGGGTGGACCCTTCAATTTGCCAGCAAGGCTGGAATTTTGTGTATTCTCGGGATTCGTATTTGCTCTTGGTTTTAACGAGTCATATTGTTATTGAACATGTTTGTCCTGAAGCATAAACACACCAATTTCCACCCGCTTGAGCAAATACGAGGGATTTTGCATTTATTTCACTTTGTGTGTTTACCCATTGGATCTGAAGAGTGTTAAAAAAGCAAATAGTAAAAGTGAAAACTTTAATCTCTCGATTAGCCTGAGCATTCATCAAAAATCTCAGCAAATATTTGTTACTCAATTCAGGGAAAACACGAGAATCGAAGGGTTGAATGAATTCCGTTTGAAGCATAAACGATTGGGGTGAATTTTTAAAAGTGAAGACCTTCTGTTTACATATTTTCATAAATGACTATTTTTATACTCGTTGGAGAATTGTTGTTGAAGTTTTCTTATGGATTTCACTCAATAGTGTTGAAGATTTTTCCTAGAAAATGCTAATCCTTTGCAAATTCATGCAAAAGCAACAAACTTCTTAAATGTCTTCTTTCATAAAAGTTAAGCTACTGTGAAGCTTGACGCTTCGCCCATTAATTCAGCATCATTCAACAATTTCATAAAATGATTTTTATGACTCTAGAGTCTTGTAGCTCTCATTTTATTTTTCCTTGTTACTCCGCTTTTTTAGGACTTCACCAAACGAAATATCATGTTATATGGAAACAGGTACAAAAGATGTTCTTTTTTGCCATATAATTTCCTCTCTTCTTCTAAAATAAAAGCAGCAAGTCAGACAATTTGGGTGTTACTGGCGCCTTCAAGTTGTATTGCATTGTGAATTTACACCACCAGAAAAGATATAAAGTTGGTGGTTCTTCTTTTTCATCTCTGATGCCAGAGTGCTGGAATAGTGTGTGTTTTTTTGTTGTTGTCGGGGGCGCAACAAAAAGGGGAAGATTTAATAATGTGAGATTTTAGAACTGAAAAACTTCACTGATGAGATGGATAGAGTGAAGAAACAATTTTTGCATTTTGTTATCTTCATTCTTTTTGCCATATTCTTATGCAACTGAAGGCGTCTGCACTGATTACTTTCAACACTCATCAAAAAAGTCATTCTTGACTGAAACTTTGCATAAGAAATTTATTACAAACTGATCATTATACTCTGTATAAATCAGGAAGGGAGGTGCAAGACATTGGATAATGAGTGGAGAAAAAACGGAAAAGTGAAGGCTACTGATTTTTTTTAAGTACACAAATATCTTCAATGCTCAAATTCTTCGACCCAGAAGCCCCTCGAAACGATAAAAAGCCGTGGGAATGCTTTTTTGTGAGTCCATCGGAGAATCTTTGCCGATTCTGTATCTCCACCGATCGCCTTACGTGGAATTTTTCTACAAAATCATCAAATTTAACAACTTTTACACGAAAGAAAATCTTAGATTGTGCTTTGACGAAAATCTTTGCCAATTTTGATGGCAAGAATCACAATTATGCTACATAACATGAGTTTTAATGAATTCAACAATCTTCATGTGCTATCCATGCTTATTTTCCATTGTGAAATGCAGCAAAACTCTCTTGAAGATCTTGAAAAGTGGTCACAGAGCACGCAAGAGCCTGCGAAAGGGGCGCGCAATTTAGCGAAAGGCTTACTATTAAAGTAAATATTGCTCGAACATTGAATAAATCCAGCTCTATAAATCGCGCAATCGCATGCCTTTCGGGAATCACATTGCGAATGGACACATAAACTCGCGAGAGTCTCTATAAACATTACTAATATATGGTAGGTGGAAGAGAAGTACAAGGAAATCATTGATGCGCAATAGACATGGTCTATGGCTAGTGCGAGATTTCTGAACTTGGGAGCGCGGAGAAACCATTCCGATGAGCCATGGAGGCAGAGAAGAATAGTGTGGCCAGTGGCAGAGAACAATAAAGAGCTGGACTGCGGTGTCATAAAAATTCGAAATAAAATTGAATCCTCATAACATTAATTATTTCCCCTCGAGAATCACCAAAATTGGATTGGTTCTGGAGGGCTCTGGTGCTTTGTCTGACGGAGAAGGAGGAGCACTAAACACTGATTTTATTCCCGATAAGGCCCTTCTTCACGAGCATGCTGGAAAAGGCTTTATGATATCAATATCTCGCCTCATTCCCGTATTCATTTGGGGTGTGTTATAGCCTTATCCACTGGTGCCATGATGTTATTTCAACAAAAAGATGGAAAAGAAGCGTTTCTCGATCACAAACATTCGCTTCCAAAACTTGAAACTTTATTGAGGGAGCCTGAAGAAGGCATATTTCACTGTGTGGACTCTTGATATCTCTCTTGTGCCGAGGGATGAAGCATTTTGATGGTTTTATTATCTTGTGCAGGAGGTCTGATTGTCCTAGAAGAGAAACAAGTTTATTTTGGGCACTTGAGAAAGGAATCAAAAATTCAAGGCTGAGGGTGTTAAAATATCTATTTTATTGGGTGTGTTGCTATAAAACAATAAAATATTCTGACGAAACTGTGAAGAACATGGATAGGACACAATTTTGTATGAATCCAAAAAGGAGAAATAACACTGAAGAATTGACTCGCGCATATACATTTTACCGTATTTACATAAAGAAGCTTTTTAATGTGTTTGTGGCTTTTTCTGATTCTTTAAGATCTCAATTCGGAATACTTGGACCTGAGCTACGGACGGGGTGGCCCAGGTGGTCTGAATGCGTCCTCGCGGACGAAGAGGATGCGAACGTCCTTCAAGCATCATCAGTTGCGAACCATGAAGTCCTATTTTGCCATCAATCACAATCCAGACGCCAAGGACTTGAAGCAGCTGTCTCAGAAGACGGGCCTGCCCAAGAGAGTGCTTCAGGTACAGTGAGCTCATGTGAGGTCCCCCGAGAGCCCCTTGACAGTAGAATCTCTTGTAGGTCTGGTTCCAAAACGCGAGAGCGAAGTGGCGGCGAATGATGATGAAGCAGGAGGGCAAGGGCGGAGGTGGTGACAAAGGTGATATCTCCCTGGACTTGGACAGCTACAGTTCCCACAGTCCATCTTTCATCCTCGGCGGTCCGCACAGTCCGCACTCGATCGACTGAAACATACTAAATGGTTTCCATCCTCGAGGACTTCTGTACATGATTTCAATCTAGAATGTTGTCTAGTTGTAAACTAAACCCGTAGCTTTAGGCAGAGAAATTCTCTTTGAATATTCCCTGACAACACTCCTACTACAATTAACCTAAGTGGAATTTTCTCATCTCTGTGAGAGTTTCTAGGGTAAATAAATACACATAAATCCTCTGTGGGTGCCAAGCAATTTGAAAGTTTAGGCACAGACTTCTAAATTTCTTACGTCCTCGTAGATTTTTAAATACTTTCAAGTTCGTTTTGGGGCAAGTATGTTATACAAACTTGCCATCTCAATCCAATCTAACTAAGGATCAGATGTAGTTTTTATATAGACTACTCTGTGTAAATACAGCATAACTTTGGCAGATACAAAACACGATATTATGTGAAATAGATACATATTTGCATGGGCTAATAAATTGAAGTAAGACTCAAAATCTTCATAAGTTTGCTGTCTTAAAAAAAAACTACACCCATAAAACATACATTTTTAAATTCTAACTTTAGAAAATCTTGTTTACTTTAAGATAAGTACATAATTAATAATTTATAAATGAAGAATATTGTAGCTACGTAAATTAAAAGAAATTGCATGATATTTATGTAATTTGTAAGTAGACAAAAGTGAAAATATGCTAAATAAGTGAAAGAAATAAACAGAGGTATTGAGAATATGGTTTTTAACTTCTTTATGTGTGTTCTTGAACAAATTTAGGTGATTAGAAATCAAAGCAACGTAAGTATTAAATTCAGGCGTGTGTTTCGATCTTGCTAACCCTCCATAAAATAACGATGTGCAGTGCGTTACATTTGCTGGGCAAAATAATTGGGATAATCTTTCATTGTATTTGGATTTTATGCTCATTTTTTGAACATTTGATCACGGGCTTTACCCTCTCAAATTATAGAGAAAAAAAATGATTTACTCATACATTTCAGTCACAAATAATTTAGTTCAAATTTCATACGGCGACACGGATAAATGAGAAAGAAATGTGTTCCTCTCGCAAACGTAATTTTGTCAGGTTAATTTAATAAACGCCAAAAGAGTATTCATGACATCGTCACACTTTGTAGCAAAACCCTAATTGTGTTTATTAAAATCTTCCCTCGCTCTCACTTTCCAAACATTAAAACAGAGTTGAGAGGAGAACAACAGAAGCGCAATTGTGACATTTGATTATGACTCTGGATGTAGTAAATCACAATTTTTTGACGGTTTTGTACATCATTAACACCGATAGAGAGGAATATGACTGAAGGTATCATAATAAAGTAGTTTACGGATATCACCATTACAATACACACAATCTCCCTCCTAACTTTGAGAAGGGGAGATATATAAACAAAATTAATTGAGTTGTTTTGTATATTAAAGTGCAATTCTTCTACAATTATTTTTCTTCCACACTCTCGTTCGCTCTAGTGGATAAAATGACTAATGTTCTCGCCGCAATAATAACCATTTTATTGTCTCGGGATTGCTGCATAGAATAGGGTACACGATCGTAATTTAGTATGAGCATGGGCGGGAGAGAGACACTGGCGCACGAAAAAAAAAATTTAGTGTGCAATAAAAAAATGAATTATGACTTTGAGAATCACTGGTGGAAAAGTCGTTTGCGTGATTTTTACGGGTTTCCCCATTGTTTCGCTGCTCCAATCTCTTTTTTCCCTCACTTTTCCAGACTCTCTGATGAGACGGAGTGTGTGGCGAGATTTCCAGGAGGGTTGCAAAGCCATTTGCAGGTAGCATATGTTCGACGGAATAAATTTAGGGATACGCTTTGGATGTGGGAACAATAGGGACGACTGAAGAGGCTCATGCCCAATAATCCATGTCAGACATGAGACATCACAAATTAGACCTACCGTCCTTGTGAGTGAGATTCAAGAGGGTTGCGAAATCCCTCTGAATGGACCTCTCCTGTGTGGAAATGCTTTCAGTTGTGATGGTCCAGTCAAAATGTTGTTTCTCTGCCATAAAACAATTCAATATGTATAACGAAATATGGTGCAATGACTTAACTTTTCTTCTCTAGAAATTACCATTCAAATTCTGCCACCCCGTGTGAATTCACATTTTTCTGTTCATTGGGTTCTTTTGATCGAAAATATAGTATCGATATTGTCCATAAATTTCACTCAAATAGAATTCAAATAAGAACGCCCAAAAGATTGTTTCTTTTGTACCACCTTTGGCACCCACTGATTCGTACAAAAGTCCACCCATTGCGATCTCCCATAAAATGCTCTCTCACGATCACCCATCAAATTAATACAATTGAAATCAATGAAAAGAACAGGGCGTTTTTTGTGTCGCCTCTTCTCGAGATCTCGAGGTTCTCCTTCCATGTGACTTTTGCCTCTCAATCTTTCCAGGGGTATGATAATATTAGAATTGTGTGAAAGAAATTCGTGAAACGGTAGCAATTGGCTTTGTCGGCAAAATATGGTGGAGTTCACCTGTGGTGTGTGCACATTATTAGAGGAGAATTGATGATTCTGCTTCCTCCTTTGTAATATTCCTTTCCTCATGTCTTCACCGCCTCGGCAAAATTCCCAATCAAGCGACGAACACTGTGAAGATGGCCCGCAACTCTTCCGTGTGGAGAAACCTTTTTTCTCACTGGGGCTTGAGTTGGAGAAAAAATTGAGATATTTCTCTAATAAGGTCCAAAACGCCTCATCAATGAATCTCTATTGAAATTCCTAATTTTTTGTGCTGCTCCACACTCTCTCTCTCTCTGGGCATCTTCGTGGATTTCTAGTTATTGATGAAATCTCCTATATTATTCCCTATTATAATATTTTTTGTGCCTCCTCTCGGATCGACCTGGAGGAGGCAGAAAGAGATACCGTGGAGGAGAACGTGTGAACATGATGAAAAAGAAAATGTCCAGTAGTTATTTCCTGACTGTGCTGGCCACTGTTTAACTATTTTTTATCCCTCAACGGCTCCCGCCTTGTCTCTCACTAGACACACAAATTACAGTGTTTAGCGTGAAAAATACCACAGATTTTTTTGATTGATTATCGCAATCTCAGAATGCCCCGATATCTCCTTCTGTTCTGACCCAGCATTTTTTCCGATGGGAAATTTCCTGCGCCGAAATTTCGTCTCATTTGCAAAGATTTACTCGTGTTCCGTGCGGAGACCTAATTAATGGGTATTTGTGGAATTCTCATATTCCCTCCAGATCGTCCTGATCAAACCACCACCACTGTGTTGAACGATTTTATTAATAAATCCTCAAGAGCGAGAGAAGGGTTTAACTGACTGGTTGAAGATACTTACATTGATAATGACCTTATGGAGTGAAAATAGTAATAATTGAGTTAACAACCCTTAAATTGATCGTAATCTACCCCCTATTCAATGAATTTGTGTACACATACTCCCGAGCGAGCTGTAATGGTCACGGAATGTCAATATATCACGAGAGGGTGAGATCAATTGTGAGATTTTCCCCATATTTTCCACGGCGTATTTGCGATTTTTATGATGATAGCGCATACAATTGAGGCACACAGTCCATCGAAAAATTGTAGACACATGTTTCCGATTTCTTTCCGGACAACTTGGTAGTGATTTTAATTGGAGTCGACAGCGTGGATATCAACATTATTAGGGGGATTGTTGTCACACCAACTAATCTCTCCTTTCCTGATCACAAAAGGGAATCACAAATAACCGAGACAATGGGTGTATGAGGGACTGATAAAGAGGCTCGAGCAAAATTTTCGACAGAGTTTTTCACAAAAATTCCCAAGAGGGTGAGAAAATGTCATGCACGCGGCCTACAATAATTGTGCAGTTTAGCTTGTTATCCTGGGAAAGGCGGCAATAGGGGGTGGAAATAATGAGCACTAGAAGGTGTGCTCAAAGGCTTGATATCACGACGCATTGCATGAAAAGCCACGAATAACTTTGCGCAAATTGTATGTATTGCCATGAATATTAAAGCTGAATTTTTAATTTATAGTTTTTTTTTGCAACTGAAATGTTAAATGTGATTCCTTTCAATGCATGATTGATTCTTTTGTGCTGCAGTCATGAAAATTCAGATGAAATACATCTCAATTCAAAATGTCTTTGCAATTCAAATTCCGTCACACTAAAAGTGAGAAAAAATGGCAAAATTTTCACATATGAATTACCAAAATTTGCACAATGATTGTGGTCGGGGTTTTTCAAAGTGATCAGTTCCGTGATAGTGATCATTAAGCATAAATAAATAAGACAGAAAATTACCCGGTATGGTCATTGGTATTCTCTCAGACGCAGAATATTCGCAAAATTCTTATCTAAATGATAGCCACTAAAGAGTGAATGAAATTCCTAGACAATTTTTAAGATTTATTCTACGTAGCTAGTCTTCCGCGACGTGGATGGTCAGCGGAAATCAGTAGAAATGTACAGCATAATTCTTTTCCTGTTGGCGTTTTTGTGCTCCCGCCACGGCTTGAGTAGTAGAAGGAGTGACCAAACAAACAGTTGGCACAACATCAATAAACGGTAACACCTCTGGAACAATAGAGCAACATTCTTCTGCCTCCCTCGCAGTGAGGCGACTAAGATGGTAATTTTCTCTCCTCTCCAACTACATGCAGTAATTTATTGCACTTTAACATCTCGTGTTGAGGTGAAAGATGACCCTCTAATGCCTTGTTTGTTTGAACAATGTTAAAGAACGGTGGGCAAAGGTGAGGTAGCTGCTGAGAAAATAATGGGAGACACGAGGGAGTTGTGGCTACCCAATTTGAATTCAACGCCATCCGAAACTGATTGTTGCACTGCGTAAAAGGAGGAAAAAAACGACTGATAAAAATATATTTAAATCGAGTGATTAATGATCTTTGGCACATGGACAACTATATTTTGAACTCCTTCATAGTGTTGCTTTATGCTCTTTGATAAATGACTGCAAGATAATTATCTCTGAATATGGTCTTATATCATATTTTTAGTATTCCTTCAATGCTGTTTGCTTTTTTCCACATCTTCATGTTGTATTAATTCCTTTATTTGTATTTTTTGCCTCCTCGCCAGGGAGCAGACACGATATGGCAACATTTTATGAAATTGAGATATTGTAGGGAATGAGAAATTGACGAAAAGAATTGGAGGCAGCGGCTCAAATTGAATTGTAAAGTGGATATATCATTAATTACAGAACATTCTTATGTTTTCGGGGCAAAACCATTACCAGTAGCTTCAATACTGACAAATTCAAATCCGAGTGATTTTGGATAACACTTTGAACATCACAGGGTGAGCCATTCTTGAGCACACATCTCACGAAATTCTTCGTATGCGATTAGAGAGCCGGAAAATGTGATAAATTTGAAAAGGTTTTGGGTTTTAATTTTTAACATTTATGTAGGGGTAAATGGGGCAGTTTCAGATTGGGGCAGCTTCAGATTTCTTAATTTTCTCAGTGATTTTTACATGAATAAATTCCTGGTCTTCACACAATGTTTGTAGTCCTTAAGGACTACAATTGACGAAAATTTGCACAGGATTTGTCTTGACTGTTTAGATAAAATAAGTGAAAATTGAAAATCACTCACAAACTAGAATTTTGCTGCCGAATTGATTGCGTGTTTTCTCCATTAAAAAAGCCACAATTCGCGTGAAACACAATCAAAGGTTATTGAG